CTTTCACTTTAATCACCAAATTTCAGAGAAATGAGTCAGTGCCCTAGCAACCTCCAGGGTTAACCAATAAGGTTTTGTTTGTTTGGTATCATTATGAATGCATGCATTTTTACATATCTGGTGTTATAACCCATTATGATAATTTTTCTTTATGGTGCTCAGATTATTCCATTAACCTTGTGGCACACCTTGGAGTTGGCTTCTTTGTCCTTTTGAAGTGATTCACAGACATTCTTGAATAAGACTCTTAGCTTAGCCTGATGTTCCTTCCACACACAATCTTGGTTTTATTTTCTGTACCCCTAAACTTCTTGGGGTGTTTGCAAACCAGCCATATACCTTGTCACCTCCAAATCATTGCTCAAGCTGATACCTTTGCCTAAAACACCTTTTCCTATTTATGCCACCCAACTAACATATCCTTCAAAACTCAGTGCTAAGTTAGCCACCTTCATATAGTTCCCCAAATCCCCCAGAATGAGGCTTCATTGTTTCTTCAGTGCTGTAGTAGCACCGATAGCACTGACCCCCATGTATTAGTAACTCTTTGAAACTCTGCTCTTCACAAGTGTGAGTTCGAGAGCACAGAATCTCTGAAGTACCTGCTACATGCAAGTTTAATAAAATGACTCCTAATGAATAAATCCACCCATTTATTAAACAAATTTACTGTCTATATGAAACAAGTATTGAAGATTTTAAGATAATTCATACACCTCACTGGGTGATGGAGAAAACACAGAAACAAATAAAATACAATGTTATAAATAATATAATATTTTTCTGTCTGTAGGTATAGCGACATTTCCCAGGTTCTGTTTCTTCTTCCCAGAATGCTCCCCACCCTGCCCCCCATGTTCTCACTGCTGACTCATCATTTGAAGTCTCAGCTAAAATGTCCCCTTCTCTGAAATACTTTTCTTCACTCTATCAGATAAATTATCTGAAGTAATTAACAGCCAGCCCCCTCCATAAACATATTGGAAGACACTAACCAACAGAATATGTCAACCGTGATGGGATATATGTGACTATGTGATTATCTATCAGGGACTATAGTGGCCATCTAGCCGGCACTGTTCACTCTCCCTTGGTGGCTTTGAGAAAGCATGTGGCTGTATTGGGTACTCAACATGGAAAAGAACTACAGGTGGCCTGTCAGAGCTAAACAACACCTGTACCCTACAACCAGCAAGAAAGCAAATCCCTCAGTCCTACAGTTGCAAGAAACTGAATTCTGCCAACAACCTGAGGGAGATATCCTTTCCCAGTGGAATCTCGGATGAGACCACAGTCTCAGCCCAAATCTTGATTGCAACCCTGTGAGCTCCTCATCAGAGGAGCCACATAAGCCATAGAAACTGTGAGATATATTAAGGTGTATTAAGATGTATAAAGATATATTACCTCTTGGTTTGTAGTAATATTGTTGCACAGCAAAAATGACTAATATGCAACCTTTATGAAATTAAGTTCTGTCTTTTACTTTCTAGTGTAGAAGAAACTTTGATATTAGAGAAGGATGCTAGTTAATAATAAAATTTCATTGAAATGAAAGTTACACGTTGCCATGTTGGGAGATGGTTCTCTATAGGTCTCTCATGTTTCTGTTTGTCTTATTCTTAAATAAGCAGAGAAACAAAAAGAAAAAAATGGTGGCCAGGGTCACTGTCTCCCTTTGTTCTTTTGTTTGTATAGGAGACAACCTGGGACAACAGCAATAGTGTCTCCCTCTAGAAAAAAAGAGCAGGTTTGCTTACAGCCTTAGAAGTCAGAGATAGTGTCCTCCTTTAAGCAAAGGTCAGGCGTTCTTACTGCCCATCATTAAAGGTCGGGATTTCCTAAGCTCACTGTTCCTTTCTTGTAATGCAACCCAGTGTGTAAGCAGATGTCCTCTAGCCTTCTCCACAGCATGTTGTGGGAATTGGGGTTCAGGGAACTGGTACAAAAATGCTGATATTTTGCTGCTGCTGCTGCTGCTGCAAGTAATAACTTATCCTTTATGCCTGACCCAGCAGTTTGCTTGCTTCTACCAAAACTCATGGAACTGTAGCAGGCAAATAGGAGGGTCAAACTTCAGACCTTTCAGAGTTCTTGAAAAGCTATAGAGAAATGATGTACAGCACACACTTAACTGTGAATACTGGGAAACGATTTTTTTTTGTAGAGGCAGAAGTGTTAATACTGTACAAAATTACCACCGAACCTGTTGACCAGACAAGTGAGAATTCAAGCCTTCTAATTCTTTTCTCTCAGCATGGGGTCTTATTCCTTCTCCACCAACCTCAACTACCCGCCCTTACCGTTAGTTAAGCATGAAGTAACACAGAATACCATTATCACAGAGGATTTTTATAAACTATTTCCTTAGTTGTTGCTTGTTACAGTACCAGGGCTGTCATCCCATCCACAGAATGACTGCGTGGTGCCATTCATAGCCACTATCCCCATTCAGTACCATACTGTAACATATTCACTGTGCTGAGAAAAAGCCCATTATAGTCAGCATTTCCATTTTTCTTGCCTACTGAATTAGCAATTACAGCAAAAGCAAAGAGCCCCAGAGGCTTAAAATGGCAGAGTATCACTGGTTAAAAACAGACCTGAGTTTTTTATGTAGGGCATGTTAAACTAATTAAAAATGTTTTCTCTATTGTGTTATTGTTACTTTCTATAAGTTCCCTAACTCTAGACATTAATTCCCTTTTGGCTTTACATATTTCAAACATTTTTTACCCGTTTGTCATCTATTTGTTAATTTTGTCTTTAGTGTTTTTTAAAAGATAAACTAAGGCATATTAAAGGATTTGAATTTACTTGAGCAAAATTTGATTCAAGTAGAGCAACACCAAACCAGAAGTGGTTAGAAACACTTCATAGACAGGAGCTCGGGGAAAGGCTGTCACATAGAAAAAGCAGAAAAAGGTAAGAAATTATTGATTGGTTACAGCTTAAAGCCTGGTTGGCTGTTTGTGATTGGCTGTCCTTAGCATTTTCATTTTGTAACCTGGAGGCTTACACAGGTTTTGATTTTGGTTAGAGCCACATCAGTCTAATGGCCTCCTTCTTTATTTGATGTCATTACTTCATCAATTTACTTGCAATTTGTGTTTTTGAAATGTTGTCACATAAGTTGTTCCCCACCACTGGGTATGAAGATAATCTCTACTATCTTCTAGTATGTCTTAGTTTGACCTTTCACATATACACCTGTAATGCATCCAGAGCCCCTCCTTCTAATGTGATGTTTAATTTTCTCAAGCTTATTTTCTTTTCCCTATTGATTTGTTGTGCTGCATTTTTGTGTATTATGTTTCCAAGTGACATTGATGTTGCTAGTCCAAGAAACGCTGAGTGGCAAGATACTAAACAATGGGTGTGAACACCTAGTTGAAAGAACTGATAATCATAGATAAGGGTGAATTGAGAACATAAGGGCAATGTGTTGTATTAAACATACTAATCCATAGTGAAGTAAAAATCATGCTATTACAAGTTTTTAGATGACAAAATTGGGATGGTTTTAGTAACTTGGAAAATACACATATATAAAGTACTCCCATTCAGCACCAGTTCAGGCCACCTGTGGATTCCCTGAACTAAGTCTCTGAAATACAGAAACAAACCTTGGTTAGGTCATATTGAAAGTTTGATTACCCAAAACATCCATCATCAGGTAGCTGTCTGAACAATGCCGTAAAGTACTGCTTTAAAAAAATAAGTTCATTTTCTTTCTTCAACAACCCTCTATAGCAAAAAATGCAATTGCTATGTATATATACTATTGCAAATAATGTAGGCACCAGTTAGACTGAATTCAAGAAATATCAAGGAAAGGCATTTTGCAATTTATTAACTGATTTATTTGCCCTGGTTGAACAATTCATGCTGAAATCAAATCAGGAGAGGGAGCTACAAACACCAATTAGCTGTGGATTTAAAGTGTATGGGGTAAGCTATGAGTGGTAGGGGAACTTTTTTTCAATACTTGTGGAATTGCACTGTTCAATGTCTTTGCTAGTCATTTTTAACTAGGTCAATGAAAGACAGTGGGGGAGAGGGGCAGGAAGAAGGCAGTGCCCCATCCAGAAACACAGATGTCAGCATAACATTCAAGCCTGTAGAAAATTTTTGGTGAGTTTATTTGAGCCAAACTGATGACAATGGCCAGAAAGCAATACCTCAAAGGACTGAGAAATGCTCCAAAGAACAGCAATTTAGCATCTTATTTTATACATTAGAATCAAAGGAGGAGCCATAAGGAGTTTACATGAAGTCCATTGGTGATAGATTAGGGAGGCAGGAAAAAGCCAAGTGGGGACACCTCTGGGATTCGATAAAAGGTAAAATGGTAGACACATACTCCTTTTACATATCATGGGTAAAGGGTAGTTAACAGTCAACAATTAACATAACAATAACAATGAGGGGATTTGTGGTCTCAGCTTATGCCCAAGCGGTTTGGAAAAAGGGACATTACCTTGATGTTCCAAAGGTATGTTACCATAAATGCAAAAAAAGACTATAGACTTAGTTAAGGTAAAGATCGACCTTTGTTAGGGTAAAATACTGACCCTGAGCTGCTTTTAGTAAGTTTTAACTGCAGACCATCCTTTGTGGTCACTTCACGTCTCTAAGTTTGGGAGGCTGCCTGGCACCGTCAGGTTAGTTTGTGGCCCCTTTTCTTCCACACAGAGAACTAATCTGTTGTTCTGAAAGGGGAGCCTGCTCCCCTTTCAATAATGGGCTCTTGTTTAGCGTGGACAAGTCTTTTCACTTTCTAGAGCGTTAGTTTTCAACACTCACGATAGCTGGAGGGCTTAAGAGATACTCAGTTATCTATTCTCAGTCTTTATTAACTTTAAGTTCTCCGCGCCCTTTCATCGCGCTTCCCGTACCCGCGCCCAGGAGGTGCCTTCCCAGTGCCTTCAGTTTAGGCTCTTTTGCGCAGGCGCCCTCTTCATCCTTTCTCCGCTCCCGGGCCCCCACGCCCGTCCATCTGAAAGAGGCAGGACTTCCTATACTTTCCCGCCGGGCTGCCGGAACTGACTACCGGAAGAGACTTCCGGCGACTCAGCTTTTGCGGAGGCTGGAAAAGTTGCGAGTAGCTGTACTCTGCTCGCAAGATGCCGGGTCTGGCGGCCTCGAGCCCTGCCCCTTCTGAGACTCAGGAGAAGAAGCCGCTGAAACCCTGCTGCGCCTGCCCGGAGACCAAGAAGGCGCGCGATGCGTGGTCAGTGGGCAGCCTGGGAGGGGGCGGCAGGCGGCCTCGAGCTTGTTTCCGGTGCCTTTTTCCCCTTGACCCGCCTTGGGCGGGTCTTGGCCCTGGATCTACTGAGCGGCGATGATTGGGGTTTTTTGGGCCGGGTAGGCTTGTCTGTGTTGGTGACTGAGGGCGCAGCTCTAACGGGAAACAGGAAGGGATAGGAGAGGGGATACCTTTGCTCGGAAGATGTAGAAATGGATAAATTTGCTACCTGATTTAAAGAAGCTTTAAGTTAATGGAGACATATACCAATAATTGCTATACCACGTGGTGTGGACTATTATAGGTGATTTAGCAAGACCAAAGAGTAAACATTATGTAATTTTTACAGAAAGTTTAGAGTAATGCCTCCGAAAATTTAGACGTAGTAGGATAAGGGATACGTTTCTTACAGTACTAAAGATTTTTCCCTCCTCTTCCCTTCCCTCCATAGGTAGATAATTTAAAAATTGACAGTCATTCATAGGTGATATTGTAGTATTCAGAATAGTACATCCAGATTACCATCAATCTACAAAAGCTTTTGTTTTTCATTTTATACAGCCTCTATAGTGGAACAAATCTCATTAGGAGGATATTAAGTGGCATCATGAGGTTAATAAGAATTGTAGAAGCTTAGTGCTTTTTATTAATATTTAGTACTTTGCAAATAATGTTGTGGAGGGAGAATTGAAACTGGGAGTTCAAAACAAGTCACCCCAGGATATGCTTCTATAATTTGCAGATTGTTTTGAGCTAAGGGCAGCTTTAGCTGTGGGCTCAAGAGAATTTTCTGCCCCTTCCCCTTAAGTACCTAGAAGAACTTGAAGTAAGGGCCTTGCCCATGAGAGATGATTAGAAATAACCTCTTTGAACCTATTTATGGGCAGGACAAACTTCTATTTACCAGGCACCTGCTTTTTAAAATCCTGCAATGACCTTTTGAAGCCCCCAAGGCACCTTACCTCATCCTAGCTCAGGATATCATACGTATACATGTTCCTTTTCTATTTCTGAACCTGTCCTTCACGTGGGATCTCAGACTCTTATGTATGCAGCGTTCCCATTCATAAGTATGTATTAAATTTGGTTATTTTTTCTTGCTAATGTCTCAAGCCTGTTTGATTATTAGATCAGCCAGCAAGAACCTTGAGGGTAGGGGAAAGTTTTTTCCTTCTCCACAAAAGATGATGAAGTTGCTTCCACAGTAAAAAGAAGTGCTTATTGAACCTTCAAGTAGATTAGTCATGATTAAGAAACTGGGATCCAGAGTCAGTGTTTGAATCCTGGTCCATCGACTTGAACAATTTTTCCAAAGTATCTGCTTCATCTCTCTGTAAAATGGGCCTCTGCCTCCAGGATTACTGCAAGGGTTAATGATATAAGCCACATCAAGAGCATAGTACAGAATTTATAGCGTTGAATAAATAATCAAGGAATGCTAGCTCTTACCTTCATGAGAAGTTTGCCATCCCAGACAGTCACTCTCATTTTCAGGCAGCCCTTGAGCATTTTTTTTAATCCTCACCAAAGATATATTTATTGCTTTTAGAGAGAAAGGAAGGTAGACAGATCTGTCAGACCCACAACCTAGGTATATGCCCTGACTGGGGATCGAACCTGCAAACTTGTGGTGTATAGGGATGACACTCCAACCATCTGAGCCATACCACCAGGATTTAGATGAAGGGGAACCTACCCTTCTTTAACTTAGTTTTGTATCAGTTGCCTTAGACCACTGTGGCTTCTATTAGTCAGGAGTTAGTTTTTACTTATAATTGAATTTGGCTCAATGTGATTCTTTGCTAAAATTACATTTTCAGGTCCTAGAAATAAGCTGTGTGGTCCTGGTCTTTACTTTGTGAATCTTACAAATGAAAAGTTCTTTGATCAGCATGAGGGGTCTCATCAGGGTACCCTTGGCTGCCAATTCTTTTTTGCTGTTTATATTATTGGGTGTCTTTTGATTAAAAGTAGGTTTATTTAGGTGTATTTTCTTTTTTATTTTTTAATAAGTTTTTAAAAAGATTTTCTTTATTTTTAGATAGAGGGGAAGAGAGGGAGAAAGAGAGGGAGAGAAACAGCAATGTGTGGTTGCTACTTGTGAACCCCCATCTAGGGATGTGGCCCACAACCCAGGTTTGCCCTGATTGGGAATTGAACCTGTGACCTTTTGGTTTGCAGGCCAGCACTCAATCCACTGAGCCACACCAGCCAGGGCTAGGTGTATTTTCATATAAGGCAGAATCAAAAAATTCTCTATGATTGCAGGCAAAAAATTAAGTTCTTCTCTCTGTGCTTTATTTAATGTTAAGTATTTTTATTCTGTCAGTTTATTTCATTATAGAGCAGTACTATTCCTTGGATGTAGACTAGAGGCAATATTGATATTCATACTTATTACTTCTAACCAGATCTCCCCCCACCCCGCCAAATACTAGTTATCTGTGAAACATCTTTATGAACATGAAATATCACAAGAGCAAAAAAAATCCATTTGGCATAATAGCATTTTTTTAACTCCAGCTACATTTGATCAGACCTATGTTCTGCCTCATCCCCCATCATCATTATGCATGCTTATTTACTACTGGTGTGTTTAATGCCTACTTTGTTAGATAACAAGTACATTTTGTTTTGTAGCATCATTGAGAAAGGGGAAGAACACTGTGGACACCTAATTGAGGCCCACAAGGAGTGCATGAGAGCCCTGGGATTTAAGATATGAAATGGTGAGCATGGTACTCTCTGATTGAGAAGGTAATACATACGCTCATTGCTTCAGATTTCTTTATTGCTTTATAGATTTAGCAGTCATTGGGCAACATTCTATCTGAAAGGTAGTTCACCCGCTTAATCCAACATGCTGCATTATCACTAAGAAATAACTTTACAGTTGCTAATGTAGGAAGTAAGTGATGCCAATAAACTGATAGGTATTCAGTGGATTTGGGAAGGGGGTAACAGAGCTTTCAAGAAAGGGCTTGACAAAAAACCTTTAGAGTTATGTTAAAGTTGGAAGTAATCATGGCTTCAGACATTCATAATATTCAGTGGTGCAACTTAAACTAAAAGGAAAACGTTCTCTATTCCTTATTTCTAACGTTGTGGGTCTTTAGTAAGTGCTTTTAAACAGGGAGTGGTAACACATGGAAGCATTGCTTTCTGCAAAACAAAAGTGAAATTTTTGCTATTTCTTTTTTTGTTCTTGTTTTTTAATTTATTTTATTTATTTATTTTTGGAGAGGGGGAAAGGAGGGAGGAAGAGAGGGAGAGAAACATCAATGTGTGGCTGCCTCTCACGTGCCCCCCACCAGGGACTGGGCCCACAACCCAGACATGTGCCCTGACTGGGAATCAAGTGGGTGACCCTTTGGTTCGCAGGCCAGCACTCAGTCCACTGAGCCACACCAGCCAAGGCTGCTATTTATTTTTTGTATTGTACTTTGTTCTAATAAAGTCCTAATAATTAAAATCTCAGACCATTTGTGGAAGAATTTTTAATCTAAATTTTAGTGCTGAAAAGCACATTACTAAAAGTGAATGTTTTTGTTTGGAAGCTCTTACTTCAGATAGCAACTTGATTTACTCCCTCACTTCATTCAGGTCTCTTTTTAAATCTCTCCTTATCAAAGAGGCTTTCCCTCAACGTTCCATCTAAAATAACATCCCTTTCCCATCACTCTCCAATAGAACTTTCTGTGATAATGAAAATGTTCTGTACTTGGACTTTCCAGTATGGTAGCCTCCAGCCTTATGTGACTTTTGAGATCTTAAAATTTGAGTAGTGAAACTGAGAAACTGTCTTTTTAGTTTATTTAATTTTAATAGCCACCACATCTGGCTAGTGGCTACTTTAGTCTTAACACCATTGCCTGCACATTTTTAAGTATATTTTATTGATTATGCTATTACAGTTGTCCCAATTTTTCCCCCTTTGCCCCCCTCTGCCCGGTACCCCACTTCCCTCCATCGCTGCTCTTAGTTCATGTCCATGGGTCATGCATATAAGTTTTTTGGCTTCTTCATTTCCTATACTGTTTTTAACCTCCCCCTGTCTATTTTGCACCTACCAATTATGCTTCTTAATCCCTGTACCTTTTCCCCCATTCTCCTCCTTCCCCCTCCCCACTCATAACCCTCCATGTGATCTCCATTTGTATGATTCTGTTCCTGTTCTAGTTGTTTGCCTAGTTTGCTTTTGTTTTTGTTTTTTTAGATTCAGCTGGTGATAGTTGTGAGTTGCCATTTTACTGTTCATAATTTGATCTTTTTCTTAAATAAGTGCCTTTACATTTCGTATAATAAGGGCTTGGTGATGATGAACTCCTTTAGCTTTACCTTGTCTGGGAAGCACTTTATCTGCCCTTCCATTCTAAATGATAGGTTTGCTGGATAGAGTAATCTAAGTTGCAGGTCCTTGCTTTTCATCACTTTGAATACTTCTTTCCAGCCCCTTCTTGCCTGCAAAGTTTCTTTTGAAAAATAAGCTGATAGTCTTGTTACTCCTGATACTCCTTTGCAGGTAACTCTCTTCTTTTCTCTTGCTGCTTATAAGAGTCTCTCTTTATCTTTAGCCTTTGGCTTTTTAATTGTGATGTGTCTTAGTGTGGCCCTCTTTGGGTCCAGCTTGTTTGGAATTCTCTGAGCATCCTGGACTTGTATGTCTTTTCCTTCACTAAACTGGGGGAGTTTTCTTTCATTATTTTTTCAAATAAGTTTTCAATTTCTTGCTGTTCCTCTTCTCTGGCACCCCTGTGATTCAATGTTGGCACATTTGGAGATGTCCCAGAGTCGTCTTATTCTCTCCTCATTTTTTGAATTCTTGTTTCTTCATTCTGTATGGTTGACTGCTTATTTCTTCCTTATGTTCCAGTTTGTTGATCTGAACCCCAGCTTCCTTCCTTTCACTATTGGTTCCCTGTGGATTTTTCTTTATTTCACTTAGTGTAGCTTTAATCTCTTCCCTTATGCGTTTGCTGTACTCAGTGATTTCTCTGAGTATCCTGATCACCAGTGTTTTGAACTCTGCACCCGATAGGTTGGCTATCTGCATTTCATTTAGTTCTTTTTCTGGGGGTTTGATCTGTTCTTTCATTTGGACCATATTTCTTTGTCTCTACAATTTGGCAGGCTCCCTGTGTTTGTTTCTGTGTATTAGGTAGAGCCACTTTGACTCCCTGTCTTAGTATACTTGATATGTTGTAAGGGGCAAATCCTTAGGTATTTGCCAGGGTAGAGCAACCCACTTTGTGGCACTATATGTGGGGGAGGGGTCGGAGAGGGAACAAGGCCACTTGCTCAGCTCTCGCCCCATTTCCAGTCACTCCCCCCACTTTCTCTATGTGACTAAGTGCCCTTTTAGCTGCTGCTTTAGTGCTGAATCCCAGCGTGGATGGGTTTGCATTCATTTTAGGGCCACGTGGGCTCTCCTGAGAGACTGGCAATTTATTCTGCCACCCCAACCCCCACTGGTTTTTACGGCCACGAGTTAAAAGGCCTTATTTCCTCATGCTGGAACCATGGGCTGTGTGGTCTGGCTTGGGGCCAGGATCACTTGCTCCCCAGGCGTCCCTCCCAGTTTTTATCCACCATGTGTGACTGTGGGACCACCCATTCCACCATATGCCACCACCGCCTCTGCCTCACCTAGCTGCTGCCATACCACGTCCTTTCCACCCTGCTTCCCATCTCCGCCCCTCCTGCCCATCAGGATGAATATTTCTTCTTTAAGTCCTTAGTTTTCAGACTTCCATAGTTTGATTTTCTGGCAGTTCAGGTTATTTTTAGTTTTGAAGTTGTGATCCTTATAGTTTTGCGAGGAGGCGAAGCATGTCTATCTGTGTCCCCATCTTGGCCAGAAGTGCATATTATATATTTATTTCTCATCTACTTTGTTTTACTCCAACTGGAATGTAATCTCTGAGAGAGTTGGAATTTTCTGTTTCACTCCCTGTCATATTCTCAGGACCTATAATATTTGTAGTTCCTGGCACAATAGTAGGTGTTCATTAGAGGATTGTTAAATAAATTAATAAATAAGTGAGGGTACTAAGTCCTGTAAATACGAAGTAATTCCTGAAGTGGGTTAGCAGGATCAGAACTGGAACCTGTCTCCAGGCAGACTCCTTCTGCTTTGTGCCCCACCCCACCCTCAGGCCCCGTCATGCACATCACACCACCACTTTTAACTTAATCATAGCTGAGAGATAGTGCCAAAGCCATACACCAGTGTAACAGTGATAGAGAGCCTGGCTTCTTTCCCTTTCACCTTCCTGCCTCTTTGCAATTTCACATGTGGCCAGTATTCCTCACTGAGCTATAAAAAGGCAGGGGTAAGGAACTCGTCCCAAGCTGATAAGTAGTATTACTGTGTAGTGGAAAACAGTCCAGGCTGAAAGTCCTCGAGCTTAATTTTGGTTCTCCTGATGTCTAACTTAGCATGTGTTTTATTTCAGCTACACTTAATGTTCATCAAGACATTAATCCTCTCTGGACTTGACTTTTTATTTATATAAAGAAAACCATAATAAGTTTTATGATTTAAATATGGTATATCTATTCTGTACGTGAGCTACTTAAATGGCTTTTAGATTAGATGGTCATGTAAAGAAATCTCATGATGATTCACTTTGTAAAATAAGTAAATTTGGGTAGGAGGCCGTGTTCTTAAAAAGTGTAAATATACCTATTGATTATTTTGAAAGACATGGAATCTCAACACTTGTATATGGTTTTCTTGTTGTCAGTATATGCAGACCCAGGGGAGACCCCTGAGACTGAAAATGAACCTCTCTAAGTGGAGGTCAGGGAAAGATGGAAGAAAGAGGCTGGCCACTCCAGTCTGTTAATTAATGGAGTTTATTAAGGGAAATGTACTTACGAGGGGCCTGTCTTGGGCAGCTGCAAGATGAAATAGATTCCTGTACCCCTTGACAGGCATCAGAAAATTGTACAGGGTAAAGCGAGGGCATAGTCACAGGTACTAGTATGTGAATGCCACCAGGTACGGAAAATTTCATGCTTGTCCAGGTCAGAACAACAACCTGTTCCAGAAAGAGGCACATCACAGGAGGCAAGGAAGGGATGCTGGTTTATGTTAGAATGAGCATCAGTTATGATCAGTCTGTAAGAGGGGTTTGGAGAAAGCAAACTCTGTTCTGGCCCAGAACACAGGGACAGATAGCGGTCATGTCATGGAACAGTCTCTCCTCCAACTAGTTCATGATCCACCTGTCTTCCCAGGCAGTAATGTAAGCTGTTGGCTAGGGCCAATCCTGCCTTGATAAAATGGGTGATTGTTTAAAATGCTCATTTTAGGAGCACCAAAAGCTTCTCTTAGACTTCATGTGGATAACAAAGGTAGTACAGTCGTTATAAGTAGCATATATTCACAAGGATCAGAAGATTCAGTTCTATGTTATTAGGACAGAGTTAGAGTGATTCCTGTGTTCTTCATTTGTGTATAAAAGAAAATGCAAGAGTTTTGGACTTAGGAAACCTGATGTTGAAACAATTGTTGCTCTTGGGCAAGTCCTTAACTTTCTGAACTTTCGTTTCCTTATCTGTAAAGCAAAGATAGTAATACATGACCAAACTACTTCATCGTCATTGTGATGCTTAAGTGATATACGTATGAATGGGCTTTTTAAACTGTCAAATAGAAACCAGAAAGGAATATCTCATATATTGGAAGTTGTAGATAGGAGACATTTGATTGAGGTCTGTTAAATCTATAGGCTAATAGTGTATTTTTGAATTCTGGTTAGAAGAACAATCTGAATCCACATAGGAACAGGTGGAAGAGGAACAGGTGTCCTCTTCCCCCAACCCTCATGGGAAAATGGAGGAACAGTGAATCAGAAGACTTGCCGAAGTTGAGTAGATAGATGGTAGAATTAAAACTAGAGTCTATGTCTTTTGTTCCCCAAATCACAGGCACTTGACTCTTTACCCCTTGCATTTAATGAGGTCTTATTGCCAATATATTCCTTTTTAGGATTGTGTATCATCTTGATCTGTAATCCTGAAACTTTATAATGAACGCTAATTAGAAAGGCCTATTGTTGAAATGTATAGGTATCTAACTTAGTAACCAGGTCATTGGCTGTTGGGTAAAATCCAACACTACTGTCTACACTGTCATAAGATAAACTTAACTAAATTGGTATGTCTCAGACTGGTAGACCACATTTTTCTGAGAAAAAATTTTACAAACTTAGGCCTTCCCAGTAATGATTATGAAAGTTTCATAATTCAAAAACCTTTGTAGATATTAGTGTTATTTTCTAAATAATTGTACCTTGAAATCAGTAGGTTGGGACTTAACATAAAAGCAGGCTACATTTAGCCAGAGGTGTCGCTTATAATCACCTGAGGAATATTTTCCAAAATTCACAAGCCTGGGCCCTAAACTGCACCTGTTGACTCAGAAACTCCTAGATAATTTCAAGTGTTGAAATGGCTTGAGCTGAAGGAATAATTCTAAATATAATATCTAAAGATTTAATGGTAGCAAAGGTAGAGACTTGAAAACTACTTCTAAGGAAAATTAGGTGTGTGATGGTGGTGATTCTAAATACTTTCTTCTTACGACTGCTGCTTTTACTGAAAGAGAAACTAGAGGAACCTAGAAGCTGCTCAAAAATGTAAGAATATGGCAACTAGTGTCTCTCTGCCTTTAGGATTCAGAAGGAACCTGGAGAACTCACTATGGGGGCTAAAATCATTGAAAGAAATTAGAGAACTAGCACTTAGCATTGATGATACTCAGTATTCATTAAATTTAACTGAACTTAACAGTAAGTTAAAATATGCCGATTATACACATACACACAAGCAACTGATTATGCATGAAAATACCCGGAGAAAATCCAGAGGAAGGGTTACTTCTGCTATTCAAACATTTATTCATTCAATTGATATTTATTGTTTAAGACCCTAAAAAATGCCAAGATGAGGACAGGACCTCTTCTGTCAAGGGCTTTACACCCAGAGATATAACCAAGAAATTTACACCAGAAGCTTTCATGTGTGTATGTGATACACAGTCAGTAGCAAAAGAGGTTAACAGTGTTTTTGCTGTAGACTTCTATCTCTTGAAATGTTGAGTGGCTTCATTTTTGGTTATCTTTCCTGCTCAAACCTTTTCCTTAAATGTATTTTTTCCTTGAACTTTTTAGAAAAGAGGAAGTTTAGATATTTTATTGTTTATCAGGCTTATCTTTTCTAAACCAAATACAGAAAATAGATGAGAGAAGCATTTGAAGAGTTGGCTAGCCCAAATTACTTACTTTTTTTAGCATTATTCTCTGTCTTCTGGGGTAACGACTGGAGGTGGGGTTGAGGATGGTCGTGGAGGTGGGTGGGAGCTGTCTGAAGAGAAGCCTGGTTCTGCCTGACTAGAGCAGCAACCCTATCCTCTGCTACTCTCCCTTTTTGATCTTTACAAATGGATTTCAAAAGGGTTACCTTTATTTTGCCTTGGGATAAATGAATAACTTTCCACAGGAAGTGCTTTGTATACAGAGCTGACCTTCTGCCTTTTACTTCCTGCATCTTTGCCAAACATACTTGAATCGGTAAGGAGGGGCTTGCAAATCCCTTTTGAATATCCTTAAAAATAAACTGCCTTAGCCTTTTTTGGGGATGATATTTTTGAGAAAATAAATATAGTTTTACTTCAACAAAGACTTCTAAAGATTAAACAGTGCAGTGGATTGAACAGTTTCAGTGATGTTTTTAGTTCAACAAAACTAGAATTTTACAACATGAATCTTTTATTTCATGACTGGGTTAGAAAAATTGTGGCAGTTAGTGCTCAGCTGAGGTACTCATTTCTAGTGGCCTTAATTCCTGACTCCGTAAGTCTGGCATGATGTTTGAAATCTGACTTTCTAAAATAAATCTTTTTCTGTAGGTGGTCTGCTCTGTGAATGAATAATTCCTGAAGAATGAAGATGATTTAATAATTTTGGAGTTTTTTAATGAACTTTTATAAACGGAAAAAGTATCTATAATTAAAAAAAAGGAAATTGCATGGTCAAATATCTTTAGGTGTGTTTCTTGAGTTCCTCACATTCTCACACAGCTCTTAATTATTTTTCTTAAAGTTTATAAAATAAACACATCTTACAATATAAACTTCCTATGTTGTGTCATTTTGGGAACTCTGGGTACTTGTAACGCAGTAGTTCAGAGCAGAGGTCTCTGGAAAACAGGAGACCCCAGCAAACAAGGGAACCCCCCCCAAAGCAAAAAGGCAGGGGGGCGGGAAGGCTGCTGAGGTGCAGATTAAAAATACCACAGTGCACACCTTCTCCAAGGTAGGGAAGAGGGTGGTGGGAAATGATGCTCACACAGCGGAAGGCACATTGCATAACAAAGGCAGAATAAAACAGCTCTCACCTTCCTGAAAAAAGTAGTTTCTGAAGGAGGCTGCTACCAGGGGCAAACTGTAAACAAAGACAGTGTGACTGAGACATGCACAAGCAGTCATTCATGACATAGCTTTGGTGGTGGGTGGGAAGCTCATTCAGCACCTGCGTGAGCTGTAGAGGCTGGATGCCCAACCCTGAACGAACAGATGCGTGCACACTTGTGTGTGATTGATTGTGCGTGGGAAACTTGCCCTGACTAAAAATGGCAGCCAAAAGAGGGTCAAAGACACTGGGGAGCTGAAAAAAATGGCATACAGTGACACAGTAGGAAAAGCCAGAAACTCCCACTGGTTTGCTGTGCATGTGGGATTTGGGGAGGGCCGTTTGAAAGCAAAGGTACAGAAAGGTTGTTGCTCATGCACTTGGTACAGAGAAGTCCCTCTTTTGGTACAGGGACCCATGAGGGACTTAGACCCTGCATGGGTGAGCACCCACTTCTAGAGGCAGGGTCCCACACTAGGATGTGTGCCTTCCTGAGCTCCAGCCTCTGGGACACTAGGCACGGCATATAGTTCCTGGACTGCGACTTGGGGACTGGGAGCCTCACACCCCAGATCCTCAAAGAGAGCTGCTACCTCGAGAGGATGGCGACTCTGAAACCCACAAATGCACATGCCAGAGAGGATGGAGATCTGTTTACATGACTGGCTTATGGACAGATAAGGAAATGGGGAACTTCTGGGCATGGTTTTGGCTTGTAGTCTGGTAAACAAGGGGAAGTACTGGGTCTCAACTGGAGAGAAGGACTCAGCAGGAGTGCTCTCAGCCCCCACAAGATTGGAACTGTGTTAATAAAAACCTGTTGCCTTCAACACTAATTGTTGGGTTATATATAAGGGCACCAAGCCGAAGCCCAGTTTGCATGGTTACATTGTAAGGACGGATACTGATCTCTTCCAGTGGAATTTTCAAAATCAAGTGCATGTAAGTATGAAATAACCCTTGACCAATTTGCAATGAGTATGGTAGACCTGTTACATCATTTAAGGTTGTGGGTTTTTTATTTTTAACTTTCTTTTTCTTTTAATATATTTTATTGATTATGCTATTACAGTTGTCCTATTTCCCCCCTTAACTCCCCTCCACCCTGTACACCCTCTCCCACCCATATCCCCCCTTTAGTCATGTCCATGTGTCATACTTATGATTTCTTTAGCTTCTACATTTCCCATACTATTCTTACCCTCCCCCTATCTATTTTCAACCTACATTCTATGTTACTTATTCTCTGTACCTTTTCCCCCTCTCTCCTCCTCCCACTCCCCTGTTGCTAACCCTCCATGTGATCTCTATTTCTGTGGTTCTGTTCCTATTCTAGTTGCTTAGTTTCTTTTGGTTTTGCTTTAGGTGTGGTTGTTAATAATTGTGAGTTTGCTGTCCTTTTACTATACATGTTTTTTCTTTATCTTCTTTTCTTAGATAAGTCCCTTTACCATTTCATAAAATAAGGGCTTGGTGATGATGAACTCTTTTAACTTGATTTTATCTGAGAAGCACTTTATCTGCCCTTCCATTCTAAATGAGAGCTTTGCTGGATAGAGCAATCTTGGATGTAGGTCCTTGTCTTTCATGACTTGGAATATTTCTTTCCAGCCCCTTCTTGCCTGTAAGGCCTCTCTTGAGAAATCAGCTGACAGTCTGATGGGAACTCCTTTGCAGGTGACTGTCCCCTTATCTCTTGCTGCTTCTAGGATTCTGTCCTTCATTTTTACCTTGGCTAATGTAATTATGATGTGCCTTGGTGTGTTTCTTCTTGGGTCCAACTTTGGGGCTCTCTGAGCTTCCTGGATTTCTTGGCAGTCTATTTTCTTTGCCAGAGTGGGGAAGTTCTCCTTTATTATTTGTTCAAATATGTGCTCAATCTGCTGCTTTTCCTCTTTCCCTTCTGGTACCCCTATAATTTGGATGTTGGAACGTTTAAAGATGTCCTGGAGGTTCCTAAGCTTCTCGTTTTTCTGAATTCCTGTTTCTTCATTCTCTCCTGCCTGGTTGTTTTTTTCTTCCTTCTGGTCCACTCTATTGTTTTGAGTCCCAGTTTCCTTCTCTTCACTATTGGTTCTCCATGCATCTTCCTTCATCTCTTTTATGGTAATCTGCATTTTTCATGTAATTTGTGCCCAAAATCAACCAATTCCATGAGCTTCCTGATCACCAGTGTTTTGAACTGTGCATCTGATAGATTGGCTCTCTCTTGGTCGCTCAAAAGGATGAGTCCTGGGGGACTGATCTGTTCTTCTGTTGGAGACATGACTCTCTCTCCTTTTTTTCCCCCCCTTCGGTCTGGTCGCTCTTGTTCCGGTGAGGGGCGGAGCCTTAGGTGTTCACCTGGGCTGGGCACCCCAGTCGCTAGATTGTGACGTATGTGGGGGTGGGGGCAGGGAACAATGGCAGTATCTCCGTTCTCCTGGGATCTCAGTCCCTTCTCTGGGATCCTGGGTTGTGCGCTCTGCCCTGGTCCACAATGCCGCCACACTGGGTCCGCCTGCCACCGCTTGCGTACTCAGGGTCCACCACTTCGTCCTGGAAGACTTACGCACTCCTGGTTGCCTTATGCACCCAGTTCTCCTTGATCTCCGCGAGCCTCGACCTCGACCTGCGCCCGCTCCTCCTCTCAGCCGCTCCTACTGGTCGGGATGAACAGGTCTACTTCAACTTCTTGGCTGTCCGACTTCCATTCAGATAAATTCTCTGTCAGTTCTGGGTGTTATTCTGGCTCTAAATTGTTGTTCTAATCTTGGTTGTGCGTGGAGGTACGGTGCGTCCACCTTTGCCTCCATCTTGCCGGAAGTCCTATTTTTAACTTTCTTAAAGGCAAGAACTAAACAAGCCCTCAGTCTGAATATTTTAAATTCTTCTTCATTACTAGTTCCCTCTTTTGGGAAAGAGATCTGTTTAAATTTTAGACCACATTGGGATGCTTTGGCTTAGAAGTTCTCAATTGTTTGGACTAAGTTATCTATAGATGGCTAGTTACAATTTAGGGTAGAGTAGGATCATAAGTTTAATGCCCAGAGGCCAGAGAGTTATCTCATTAGTTAGAGTTCAGATCAGAGGCTGAATTAGTACAAATTCACTAATGAAATAGCTGTGTGCTATGCTGTTGTGACACCTGAAATAAAACAGTGTGGTTCCCTAACTATAGCAACCCTGGTTCTGTCAGTTGCAGAAGGGCTATAATAAGAAGCAATTGGCCATATTCTGCCTTTAAGTAAATCGAGTTTCAGATCTCAACAAAAGATACTGAGGAATATAAGCAAGGGAAAGTGTACTGTTTATATGTCATTGTGTAATGGGAAAATTGCCTCTTTCATGAAATAAAGGAGCGGAATTAAATTATTCCTTAGAATTCATTCCTAATAATAAAGTTCATGGCTTTGAAGCCTGACAGCCTTAGGTTGAACAGTGGCTTATGTGACCTCTACAAGTTATAACCTCTTTGGGTCTGTTTTTCCCTTCTGAAAGAAAAAAAGAAGCAGGGATAGTAGTAATACCTAATTTAGAAGATTGTGAGTACTAATTAAAATAGTGTATATAAAGCATTTGGCATAGTGTCTAGCAATTAGTGTTATTAACATTCTCTCTCTACTTCTCTATTTCTATATTCATATTTTCATTTGAGTATTTGGATATAATACTTTTGTTTTAGTAAGCACTTTATAATTTTTAGAGCATTCTTCTAGATAAAGAATAGAATCTTGAACAATCCTAAAACAGATATGAACCAACTTTTCCCTCAGTAGAGATCCCTGGCAGACAATTCAGATTCTACTTGCATATGTCCTGGGACTACAAAAATTAATAACACTATCACCCAATGTTACTTTTTTTTATTATTGTTCAATTGTCTCCATTTTCACACTCCAAAACCCCCCCATTCCTGCCTTCCACTCTTGAACTTACTCCCTTTGCCTTTTTTCATGTGTCCTTTATTCATGTTCTTTTATGCCCCTTCCCCTATTTTCCCCCATTATCCCCCACCCTCCTCCCCTCTGATTACTGTCAGTTTGTTCTTTATATCAATGTCTCTGGTTATATTTTGCTTGCTTGTTTGTTTTGTTGATTAGGTTCCAATTAAAGGTGAGATCATATGGTATTTGTCTTTCACCACCTGCCTTATTTCACTTAGCATAATGCTTTCCAGTTCCGTCCATGCTGTCACAAAGGGTAGGAGCTCCTTTCTCTCTGCTGGGTAGTACTCCATTGTGTAAATGTACCACAGTGTTTTTATCCACTCATTTACTGATGGGCACTTAGGTTGCTTCCAGCACTTGGCTATGGTAAATTGTGCTATGAACATTGGGGTGCATAGGATCTTTCGAATTGGTGTTTCAGGATTCTTAGGGTATAATCCCAGCAGTGGAATCACTGGATCAAAAGGTAGTTCCATTTTTGGTTCTCTGAGGAAATTCCAGACTGTTTTCCATAGTGTCTGCACCAGTCTGCATTCCCACCAACAGTGCACTAGGGTTCCATTTTCTCCACAATCTTGCCAGCACTTGTTTGTTGATTTGTTTATCATGGCCACTCTGGTGTGAGGTGGTAATCTCATTGTGGTTTTAATTGGCATGTCTGTGATGGCTAGTGATACTGAGCATCCTTTCATGTGTCTCTGGGCCCTCTCTATATCCTCCTTGGAGAAGTGTCTGTTCAGGTCTTTTGCCCATTTTTCATTTGGGTTGTTTGTTTTCCAGGAGTGGAGTCATG